ATCATGGTGCTATAATTCTGTAGCATGAAAGACCCTCTGCAGAGGTTGGTCCATTTATGCTACTCTTTCTGCTGTGATGTAAAGTTCTAACTTGGAAAAAAGCTTTCTTCTGATATAGTTCTTTTCAACTATAATCTTGTCTTATCTACTTAAGAGTGCTGGCTGTGAAAGGCCCTGGGAAGAGCAGCATTGAGAGCTTGCTTCTGCTGCCTTCCCAAAATAAGAAGTGATATCAACCTAACCCAGGTATTGGCAAACTTCAGCCCTCCAGGTGTTTCGGACTTCAGCTCCCACAATTCCTGACAGACGGTAGGCTGTAAATGAAACAGCAAATGGGGTGGTGGGGGAGATTATAGTGCCTTTAAAATAAAGGATTCACTCTCTCCTTCCACAAGGATCCTGTCTAACATCTCCAGCATTATTAAATATTGTCATGTTTAACATCACTGTTGGTTTTGGATAAGTCAATAAGAATAAAACGTACTGGCAGAAAGGGAAAGAGGTGAGGCAATACTGAAGGAGGAAAAGTAAGGAACACGGAGCGTGTGCATTGAAAAATCATTTGGTTGTGCTTACAAAATGAAGCTTTGCACTTAGAAACATGCCTTGTATAAAAATATTGATGCACAGTGAACAAGTATTTCCAGAAAAACAGGAAAAATCTATGGTGAAATGATGAGCTCCACTCAGAGTCAAATGCTGGTGCCACTGAGAAGAGAACAACAGTCAAACTGAGCAGTTTCTCCCAGGCCTTATCTACACTCTCTGATCAATCCATGGCAAGCCTGGGGCAGTAATGCTTCAGACTAATCCAAGAGGAGATACACATTCTGTAAGGCAGAATCTACGTGGTTCATAGAATCATAGAATCCGAGAGTTGGAAGAGACCTCGTGGGCCATCCAGTCCAACCCCCTTCCAAGAAGCAGGAGGATCACATTCAAAGCACCCTTGACAGATTGTCACCCGGCCTCTGCTTAAAAGCCTCCAAAGAAGGAACCTCCACCACACTCCGGGGCAGAGAGTTCCACTGCTGAACAGCTCTCACAGTTAGGAAGTCCTTCCTGATGTTCAGATGGAAACTCCTTTATTGCAATTTGAAGCCATTGCTCCACATCCTAGTTTCCTGGACAGCAGAAAACAAGCTTGCTCCCTCCTCCCTATGACTTCCCCTCACATATTTATACATGGTCTTCATCATGTCTCTTCTCAGCCTTCTCTTCTACAAGCTAAACATGCCCAGCTCTTTAAGCCACTCTGCATAGGGCTTGTTCTCCAGGCCCTTGAACATTGTAGTCACCCTTCTCTGGACACATTCCAGCATGTCAACATCTCTCTTCAATCAGAGCACTGCAGAGGGCTCTCAGCTGCTGCCTGCCTTCCTCCACCACCTTTTCGCCATAAGGAAACGGTAGGCTGCTGTGTCCTTCTGCCAAGAGGACAGGAAAAATTAGGAGGGCCTGAGGTAAGCACCCAGGGGGTTGCATCCAGCCCCTGGGCCTTAGTTTGACCATGCCTGCTGTAAAGGGATAAGTAACTGGCATGGAAAGTGAAAAGAACCAAGTCTGATCTGAGATGTGTAAAGGATTGTCATGTCTGGAGATCCCATTTCGGATGGCAAGGGGAAATGATGAGTGTGTGGAAACAGCTTTCAAAGGAGATGCATTGGGGACAAGACTTAAACAATTACGAGTCAAACAAACAGAAATAGAGTATTTCTAAGAACACAGTCTGTGTAGCATTCATTTTATACCAGCAGCTAGGGAACAACAACAGAACAAGGTTAGTGCATTCAAGTTTTTCTGTCTGAGCACTGTATGAAACAAATTGCTTGATTACATAAGCCCTTGGTCCTATATAGCACAGCATTTCTTCTATTCCTAGAATATAATCTATTTTGCTATGTATTGAGGGAAGATGCTGCTTAATTAGAAACATATTCAGTGTCCCAACCACCGGTGTGCCTAAATACTTCAGTAATCAGGACTAAGAATATACAAAGCACAGGCCTAGAATCATTCACAAATATTACATTTAAAAGCACCCCAGCTTTTTAAATATTTTGCTCACCATCCTGAATGACTTAGGCTTCTGCTTCAAGAGTACCAAGGCAATACGACGTCCGACAGGGGTGGCCTACTTCCTCCATTAACTTTATCATTTAACTTTTTATGTGGCTTATTAATTTTAAAATTAACCACATATTCCCTTTGGGGTTGAGCAAATCACCACTTCTCTATATGCTCTCACACACTGTCTACAAGTACATTAAGTTTACATGGCTTATTAAACCCTCGTGCTTTCAAACATAATGAGTGTCTGGCACATTTCTCCCCCAAAGAATAGTGCATTACTAGGAAGCAAGATAAAAAGAGACGTAATTAGGTTATGTGAATGGTGTAATTACAGTAATGGCACAAAGGAGGGTCAGAAGAGAAAGAGTAAAAAAAAATCACACACTTAAAATAGCTCTCGCAAACTGAAACGGTGACCTTTCTTTTTACAAGAGAAACTATTGCTCGCTTGGCCATTAGTTACAGAATAGATAAAGAGAGCATCGTTGTGCTTCTGAGGTGAAGAAGAGACAGCCTATGGGGTATATGAAGGTTTCCCAAAAGCAATTCTTAGGCTCCTATAACCCCTATGGCCAAATTCCCTATTTATCCCCATGCTACTCTGCGCTCCATACAGGTCCTCTTGAATCAAGAAGTGAGCCAGAAATTGGCTTCTGGTTCATTTCCTTATTTCTTTCATGACTTATCTTTACAAAAGGTCTCTATCAGGTGGGGAATGGCCGAAGGAATCTAAAAACACATACATTGCTTGGAAGTTGTCTTCCACCTCCCATCCTAGTTTTAGAAAAATTCACCTGAATCTAAAATGTGGAAAAAATAACAATAGCCTCTACAGCAGTGGTTCTCAACCGGTAGGTCCCCAGATGTTTTGACCTTCAACTCCCAGAAATCCCATGATCAACAAAAAATGCAGGAGGGCTTTGGGGAAAATTCACCTTGATTTATAAGAATTATAGTTCATCTACATCCAGAGAGCATTGTGAACACAAACAATGATGGATCAGCACCAAATTCAGAATACATACCCAATATGCCAAAATTTGAATATAGGTGGGTTTGGGGTGGAATTTGCCTTGACATTTGTTAGTTCTAGATACTGGGATTTATAATTCACCTGCAATCAAAGAGCACTGCGAACCCTACCAATGATGGACCTGGACCTAACTTGGCACACAGAACCCTCATTGACCATCTGAACATACTCAAGGGATTTGATGGTACTGACCCATCATGGTGGGAGTTGTAATTCATCCTGCAGCTGGAGAGCATACTGAAGTAGTACACCCACAATCTTATGCATTTTGTAAAATAAATACATGCCTTCTTCTAATAATCCAGGCAATGCCGGGTACTCAAGCTAGTATAGAATAAAACATGGAGCAGAACCAATATTCACTGTATAGTTCAATGGAGATTTTTCCATGGAAAGTACCTAAAGGATTGCAGCCTAAGTTACAATTAATTATAACTTGAGCTGTTTTAAGCATAATATAAAAAAAAACAAGGATGTTGTATTTCCATTAGTTCCTCCTCTCAATCTTCCTATGAGCTCATTCCTGCAAAACAATCCAAGCAGCTTCAAAATGAACAGCCATCTTGCAACAGTTTTAAAAAGAGGGAGGGAGAGTCAAAGCAGCCATTAAAGAGACACTTTATTAAATGAAGAAAAATTAGCACATTTAGCTTCCCTCACAAAAAGCTCTGCAGAATTATCAAATGGCTGTTCTTTCATTAGGCTGTGAATAATGACACATTGCAGAAGAAGCATTTTATTTATGCCACTGTTAACTCTCCCACAATTTTTAGGAGTGGGAAAACTATCATTTGGATAACTGTATGGCTATATCTGCTACAATATGATATTCACCGTGGCATCACTAGGGTTGGTGCACCCAGTACAGTAATTGATGGTGCCACTTCCATGGACCTCCTCCTATACTGTACCAGACCAGACCACAATATTGCAGCTACAATACCAGAAAAATAGACAAAGCCAGAGACTCTAAAAACCCAGCAACAAAAACAGCACAAGCATTTAGTGCATGCAGATAAAACCATCTGCTATGAGGCTTTGTTGTAATTGGGTAATACTGACAGCTCTGACTAGATCTTATGCACATCAAAAGGTTAAAAAATAGATCATCATAAAAGTTTTAGCTTTGTAGGTACAGTTGAGTCTCGCTTATCCAGCATAAACGGGCCGGCAGAATGTTGGATAAGCAAAAATGTTGGATAATAAGGAGGGATTAAGGAAAAGCCTATTAAATGTCAAATTACATATTGATTTTACAAATGAAGCACCAAAACTTCACATTTTACAACAAATTTACAGACAAAGCAGTTCAATACATGGTCACGTTATGTAGTAATTACTGTATTTATGGATTTAGCACCACAACATCGCAATGTATTGAAACAGCTGTGGATCTGGGCAGAGGTAGACTGTGTTGGATAATACAAAACGTTGGATGAGCGAAGGTTGGATAAGTGAGACTCTACTGTATATTGATATAGTACATGTAAGTTAAGCTTCTAACGCTGTTTGTATAGTCAAACTACAGATCTTTTATTAAAATATATTTCTGCTGAAACGCTGAAGAAATTAAATCATATAAATTTTAATGTCACCCTCTATGTGGTTCGCACCCTTCATATATCCTAGTATTGTCATGGATATCCATTTAATAGGAATTGCTTCAAAATATTTTGCAAAAAAAAAAAAAGACCAGAAGAATTGCTTTGCATGTTGGTAAGTGTGTAATTTCCTACCACAGAAAGGAGTGGTTGTCAGTCACCAACTTCTATTATTTTTCAAAGGGAACAAACAAATCCATGGAGTATAGGCTGCCATGGCAGCTATAACCTCCAGTGTCAGAGTCAACATGCCTCTCAGTTAGAAAAGTCAATTCATAACTATTTGGTCCTACCTTGAAATGATGTCTAATTATGGCGATTTTCTTCCCATTGTACTGCTACTTTGCTGCATTTTCCCCATTATCTAATCCTTAGGAAAGATTTGCTCTGTGGAGAAATAAAAACATACTTTCTGATGTGCATACGTACACACACACACACACAAATGTTTTCTGTGAATATATATATGAAACAAACCCCATGCCCAAGGGATACACTCCAAGACTCCCATGGATACTTGAAACCCCAGATAACAGTGAACCCTACATTTTGACTATATCTGGGACAGGAACAAAACATAGAACCACATTAGAGGACTTAGAAAGGCCCCACAAACACTTTGGGAGCATTTTGTAGTGTGTGGGTGACTACTTTTGGGGAGGCAAAGCCATTGTAGGCAAACCGCCCTCTGCTTCAGTTTCAAGCTGAATGGCGACTCAAACACTTCCACCCATTAACAGTATAGCTGAAGCTGTCACTCTTGGGGGCCGGGTAGAAATCCCCCCCCCCCATTTCAATGGGGGTGTTTTGCCTACCCTATACTGTTCTAGTATGGCAAATTGGGAGATAAGGGCCAATAAAAGGGAATTTAATTTGGTATACAACCAAGGAACCTTTTGTGTAGGCCAGGAGCTGTATCCTCACTCTAGGTTGTGAATAAAGAAGGGGAGGGTGAAAGCAAATGGCCAAGGAACTGGAAATATGACACTGATCATTCTGGGAGTAGAATTACTTCACCAAGTTCATTGCCAAGTTCAATGTCAAGTTCATGGACAAGTTCATTATGCATTCTGGGACCGCATTAAGGGAAGAATCATACATATTAATCAGGTAACATTAGTAAAAGTTGCCCTTAGTTAACCCATTCATGTGTGTAGCCTCTTCATTTGTGGGGGTTGTGTGGCAAATAAATAAAATAACTTATAAACAACAAAATTAAACCAAGAAATGTAAAGCAAATTAAAAGGAAACCATAGATTCCCTGAAGGGGGGGAGGGGTTGTATTGCACTGAACTGATTTTGAATGCTATGCCCATAAACATTTTTTTTAGTATTTTTCTAGTTCTCATACTGCTACACAGAATCATGTTTAAAGAGAAAAGCAAGGTCTTGTGGAAATAGACTTCCACCTCCTTTTTTATTTATCAGCTCTGAAGCCCATCAGCAATCCAAACTCTGGAACCAGCGCCTCCCTCCCCTGGGTCATGTACTTCTATCTACCATTTATTAAGCTCATAAATGCTAGCCTGGCACTGCAAAGAAAACAACTGCAGTAATAAACAAATTGTGCCTGCAAGCGTACTCATCCACTTGCCTTTTCAAACACAAGCAGATGGAGGGAATCAATAATAATAATAAAAGATTTGCTTTGCGGCTATCAACAGTATAGCTTATTCAGAGTGTGTGCAACAGAGCAGTGATGCAATATTTGAGTGAAACACTATATAATTTCCACATTGACACCAAGTGCCTGGCCTGGAAGCTGCAGAAACCACTTCAAGAGCTCTTTTCTTTTATCAGCTCTTTCCTTTCCTTTCCCTGCTGTAAAGCTACTGTGATGTAGAAGATTTGGGTTTCAAATGTCCCACAGCCTCTCTGCCTAAACCTCCCTCTTAGGCAGCATTTCTCAACCTAGGGGTCGGGACCCCGGGGAGGGGGTTTATGAGGGGGTGATAGAGGGGTCACCAAAGACCATCAGAAAACACAATATTGTCTGTTGGTCATGGGGGTTCTGTGAGGGAAGTTTGACCCAATTCTATCATTGGTGAGATTCAGAATGATCTTTGATTGTAGGTGAACTATAAATCCCAGAAACTACCACTCCCAAAAGTCAAATCTGATTTCCCCAAACTCCACCAGTGTTCACATTTAGGCATATTGAGTATTCGTGGCAAGTTTGGTCCAGGCCCATCGCTGTTTTGAGCCCACAGGGCTGTCTGTATGTAGGTGAACTGCAACTCCCAAACTCAAGATCAATACCCACCAAACCCTTCCAATATTTTCTGTTGGTCATGGGAGTTCTGTGTGCCAAGTTTGGTTCAATTCCATCATTGGTAGAGTTCAGAATGCTCTTTGATTGTGGGTGAACTATAAATCCCAGCAACTACAACTCCTAAATGACAAAATCAATACCCCGCCCCAACCCCAACAGTATTCAAATTTGGATGTATCAGGTATTTGGGCAAATTTGGTCCAGTGAATGAAAATATATCCTGCATGTCAGATATTATATGACAATTCATAACAGTAGCAAAATTACAGTTATGAAGTAGCAACGGAAATAATTTCATGGTTGGGGATCACCACACATGAGGAACTGTATTAAGAGGTCACAAAATTAGGAAGGTTGAGAAACACTGCTCTTAGGATTGTTGGAAAAACACTATGCAGGGATAGGAATCATGCAAACCTCCAGATTTTGTTAAGATTGCAACTCCCAGCAATGCTATGCTGTGTGTGAGCTGATAGGTGTTGTAGTCCAAGAACATCAGATTCCGGGGGTGTGAGACTTGATAATGTTGGAGGACCATGTTGGTAAAATTATGTTGGAAACTGCTTTGAGTCCCTTCAGGGGTGAGAAAAGTGGTATATAAATGCAGTAAATAAATAATAAATAAATGTAAAACATTTATATTTCGCCCTTCTCACCCTGAAGACATACAACATACAAACGGCAAACATTCAATGTCGGGATATAAATAGATTATATGCATACATAAACATTAAAAACATTTGTCTCAACATTAAAATCCATGGCTTAAATCATCTTGATCATCCACACTGAATTTAGTAGGCATGTTAGGGTTTCCTATTGCTGCTTTATAGCACTGTCCCAAAAGCTTGGTCCCACAGCCAAGTCTTTGCCATCTTTCTGAAGGATAAGAGGGAGGGAGCCGATCTAATCTCACCAAGAAGGGAGTTCCATAGCTGAGGAGCAATCACTGAGAAGTCCTTCTCTCTCGTCCCTGCCAATCACACCTGTGACAGTGGCGGAATGAAAAGCAGGGCCTCCTCGGATGACCTTAATCTCCACTATTGTTCATAGAGAGAGATGCATTTGGATAAAGGTTGTTACCCATCAAGAATGAAACAGACAAACTCTAAAACCCTGCTGAGAGACAGATTAGGCATCTGGCATCAAAAACTCTGCAGTCTCTTCTCAATTTGCAAGAGGTGTTTGATTTTCTTTTTGGAGAAACAGCACAAATCTGCTTATCACTAAACTCAGGGGGGTTTATTAGCAACAGTTCAAGTAGCAAGCATCAATTAACTCAGTCTATTTTGAAAAATATAACAGCGGCAATCCCAGCAGTGAGACAAGATAGATTTACAATAGATCATTCTCTGAGCATTTTTTCCCCAGAATCCTTTGACTGACAGCATTTTCTGTATCTGAGGACATGCTGTCCTGACCAGATTTCAATTGAAAACAAATTATAAGTCCAGAGGGTAATCAGTATGCATCATATGTCCAGCCATGATGGACCTGCTCTAAGCAACGGTTTCTCATTTCTCATTGTGGGTTATACATCCAGAATAAACCTCAGCCATTGATTTCTATTTTTAATAATAATAATAATAATAATAATAATAATAATAATAATAATAATAATAATACACTTTATTTATATTCTGCTCTATTTTCCTGGAGGGACTCAGAATGGATTAAAGAACACATATGAGGCTAACACCACTTTAACTGCCATGGCTCCATAGTATGGAATCATGGTGTTTGGTGAGGTCCCAACACTCTTTTGTAATGAAGGCTAAAGACATTGTGAAACTGTGACTCCCATGCCATGGAAGTTAAAGTGGTATCAAACCACATTAATTCTACACGAGAGGTGAACCCTGAGCCTCCCAGATGGAGTTGCAACTTTCAGCTTCTCTGCCTGAATATTGTTGCTGGTAAGGCAACACTTCTCCACTTCAGCATGAGCCCTGCATGGAGCTATCCAGCGTGCTGTATGCCATATCAAAGTCTGGCCACTGTTCTGCTTAGCTTTGCCTTGTTGTTAGCTGAATCTTGTTTTGCCTGATGTTGTAAACCAGACATGAGCAAACTTTCTTACTTGAGGGCCGCATGGCAGGCTGGAGCGGGGTGTATGGAGGGGGTTCTCCTTAAGTCCCTTCGCTGCCTTTTACTCCCACTTCTCTTTTGGAGGCAGAAAGTGAAGGAAAGACAGGGAAACATTTGGATCCCAAAAGAGTTCACCTTTGTCAGGAGGAGATGGTGGATGGGAGAGAAAAAGTGTATCCATTAGAACTTGTATTGCCTACTCCTGATATATATATAGAAACCTATGGTGAAAGAGACCCCCCGGGCCTCAGTCCAACTCCATGCCATGCAAGAAGGCACAATCAAAGTACTCCCGATAAACAGCCTCTGCAAAAAAACAAAACAAAAAAAAACACCTCTCTAGAGAAGGAGACTCCACCACTCTGAGGTAGCCTATGCCACTCTCCAGGAAGTTCTTCCTAATCTTTTCAGTCGGATCCCTTTCCCTGCCATTTGAACCCATTGCTCCCTTGTGCCCTGGTCTCTAAAGAAGCAGAAAGTCAGTTTTCCCCCTCTCTCCTCCTCCTCAAAGGGACACCCTTTGAAAACTTGAAACATGGTTCTCATGTTCCCTCTCTACATTCTCCCAGCTAAACATCCCCCAGCAGGAAAGGAGGAAGGAAAAGAGAGGGAGGGAGAGAGGAGAAGGGAGGAAGGGAGGAAGGAAGGAAGGGTGGAAAGGAGGGGAGAGAAAAAAGAAGGAAGAAGGAGGAAGAAAGGGGGAGAAAGAGGAAGGAATGGAGGAAGGAGGGAGGGAAGGAGGGAAGAGAGAAGGAAGGAAAGACAAAAGAGGGGGAGGGAGGAAAGAGTGAATGAAGGATGGAAGGGAAGGAGGGAGGTAAAGGAGGGAGGGAAGGAAGAAGGAAAGATAGAAGAAAGAAAGGAAGGATAGGATGGTGAGTGAGAGGAGGACCTGAGAAAAGAGCCCAAAGGGCCCATACCTGTTGCACACTATTTCTCGGTTTAAAATCTCACATAGGAATCCACAGTCCCTTTCAGTCCAGGTTTCATGCTCTTCCAGAAAAGAAGAGAGAGGGGCTGTAGATTG